CCTCCCGCCAGTTGGCATACTCATCACGTATGCTCGTGTGCTGTTCGCTGGTAGTACGTCGCGTCAGCGTCAAGTACAGATGCAGGGTGATGTCCTGTAATCCCTCATTCGTAAGGTGGTCCCTGTACTGCATCCACTCGTCGGACTCATTGTTAGTTGCTGAGAGCTCGACGGCCCTGACTGCTGTTGCCGCTGTCGCCACTGAAGAGTCTGAGAGATCAAACACCTCGCTCTCAGGGTTATCGGCGCCCAGCATGAACGTGGTGTGCGCATTGTCCATCTGGGTCTGGAAGTGAAGTACACGCAGTTCTCGAAGCTGTTCAGGGTCTATTGACAGCTCGGCCCCACCCCCCACCTTGCGGTGACATTGGAGGAGCCACCTGCCCAACTCCAGGCTCGTAATGAGTTGGAGGAATCGACGCAGGTGGGGTGTTAGGCAGGTTTCCCTGCTGCGGCACCGTCATCGGGATAAGCTAGTCGAAGTATCCCGTCTCCATCGGCGTCCTCACCACCTCCGGCGGGTTCCCCCGCTGTTGGGACTGTGCTGTCTGCCTGTCCAGCATGCTGGCTGTCATCTCCTCCACCATGCCCCTCAACTCCCGCGGCTCCCTCGCTGCCTGTTTCGGGAGCCTGAGTGTAGGAGCCGGTCCATGGAAACGATGACGCTATGATGCCTGGCGCTCGGCAGATAGCACATACTGGTTGCTGAGGATCTCCTTCTCGCTGATTCGCAGCATGGCCCACCACATTCGAGTTCCAGCGCTCCTCGTGGAACAGGTGGTTGCACCTCAAGCGGTAGATGCTCTCCCTCGGCTGAAACTCCTCGAGGCATGCCGCGCAGGTGTGTTCCATCCCAGTATAGATTTCCACATCTGCAGCCCTAGGGCGCACCCGCCGCTGCCGCTCCAGGACTGTTTCGGAGCCCAGGAAAGCAGCTGGGGGATCTCCTGCGGGAGCCAGTACCTCCAGCGCTACGGCAACCACTGCTGGAGGAGCTACCGTTGTGGAGACTGCGGGCGACACGGCTGGCGAGTTTCCTCGCATAGGTGAGCCTCTGTTCCTCACGACCTCAAGTGCAGCTGCACGTGCTTGGTCACGTACGCTCTGTACTGCCTGCCTGCGCCTGAAACACGCCTGTTGAGTGTGGTACGTCTGCCTGATGTAATCTGGTACTCCCCTACTGCCTGATGATATCGAATGGGCAGTAGGCTGGACGACCACCTCTGGCGCTGTTGGTGCGGGCATGGAGGCCATGTGCGGATACATGGACTGATCACTGCAGCGCATATTCGTGAGGCTATGGAACTGATCCGCCGTCTCGCGAACAAATCTGCTCGGGACTCTAGACCCGTCTGGGTACAGTGGCGGATCCATTGGTGCTGGCGCTGGCCTCTGGCCCTGAGCCATGCTCGGATGAGCATTGAAAGCCGGGGTAAAGGCTCGTTGCCGAGCAGGGTCACGCGGGTTCGGACCCTCTGGCTCCCACGACCAGGCTGGCCTCCACCTCTGACCGCTTGGGTGGGGAAGGTTGTGACTCTGCACCTGTTGTACCGCAGCTGCCACCCTTGCGCGGTAGTCGTTCATCAGAAGAGCTGTGCCATGCTCAGCTCTGGCCGCGGCGATCCGCTCCATGAGAGTGCCATTCGTGGCAGACCGACCAGGAGTCCCAAACGGAGACTGCGCTGGTGGGGGCGCCACTGGGGTCATGCCCCTCGGTGTGTGCATGCTATGCGAGGGGCTCCCTGGCATCTGCTCAAATCGAGCAGGCTCTCCGAAGATGCGGCCGAACGTTTGCGGGTCTCCCTGCGGTTCGGGCATGTCGTTTCTGAGTCCATTAACGGGCAGGTTTCCCTGCATGGCCTGGCGGTAACGCGTCACCATGGCGGGCGTAGCTCCCCGACCTGCGGCCCAGGGATCTTGCTGGCACAGTCTGTCCGCTAGCTGTTCCACCTGCTCAAGGTTTAGAGCGGCCGCGATCTGATCCAGATCTGAGGTGCTGAGGACCTGCCAAAGTATAGCACTAGGCCCTTGGCTTGGAGCACGGCTTGGAGCCGCGCTTCCTGCCTCACTCTCGTTGATCATGAGGATATAGTGGATCTCGGGCTGGTTTCCCAGCGCTGTTGGGCTGTAATGGCCCCCTACTTCTCTTTGACGATGAGCCGTATGAGGCTCATTAGCCTCTCGGTAAAGAGACCATCTGTGCTTGATACTAGCACTGCCCACAGTGTTCCACCTGTTTGGGGCCGTCATTATGGCAGTGGAGACGCGTGCAAGGCGATTGCCCAGATATTCTGGGTTCCGCCATTGCTTTCCCGCGGAAACTTCTTCCACGTGTGTAATATAATACGGCTCAATAATGCCGTCTTTTCCTTCTGATAGGAGAACCCCATTGTCGGACCAGCAAAATGCGATCCCGTCCTTCAGGGCCTGGTGCCAGTCCACAAAGATAACGATCTCGGAATCGGGGCCCCATCCACTCTGCACGCCGCGACGACGAAGCGTCGGAACAAAGTGGATGTGTGATCGGCCAGTCCCTCTCTTCTTGGTGTTGTGTTCTTTGCGACCAGAGAGGCCATGCCAAATGATGCCCTCAAAAGCCGCCCATCGCGTGCCATGCGTGGCGACCTCGGGGCACGGGGCCGGTCTCCCGGCAGGGTTGTCGAGCAGCACAATGTACTTGTACAACGACCAAGGGTTCTTGAGCGCCCACGAGTGCCCTTGCGAGGCACGGATGAATATGCCGGATTTGCAAGAATCCCGCACCAAGACCTTGAACTGCAGACGCTGCTTCTCCTCGCCGTCCGACTCGCGGACGTGGACGATCGCCATCATGATGGCAGCCATCTGGTCAACCGTTCTGTCGTAGAAAGTCTCGGCGATGATCTTGGCCTCATCCGGTCTCGGGTTGTGCCCGTCCTGTCTCGTACGTCCGTTGTGCCATGAAAACTCGCGTGCGAGCTCATCGAGATTGATCCATCCATCATGACCGTCGAACGTCTCAAGGCTCCACACGTCATTGTGTGGTCTGTCAGGCGCGTGTCTGCAGATCCTGTTGAGGCATTTACTAAGCTGCTTGAGTGTATGATTACTTCTCAGAACAATACCTTTCTGCCTGCAGCTCTCCATGAATGCCTCATCCACCGAGCGTATCGGTGGAAGATTCCGCAGGGCACGTCGATCATGGATTAACGCCTGACTCCCGCTAGTGAAGGAAGTGTCCCCTGGGCGATGCAGCTTATCCACTGGCGGGTTTCCCCGCCATGGAGCCTCTGTCACCGAAGAGGCTGCGGCTCCTAAGGAGGGGGATGCTGCAGCTGCAGCGCCTGGCGGGTTTCCCCGCGGTGTTTCTCGACTGGCGCCGCCCTTGATCTTAGGCACCCAGGTTCCTCTAGATAGGGCACCTTCCTCAGACTGTAAAGGCCTGGCTGAGAGGGCTGAGATGGCCTAACCAGCTGGAATGGATCTCGCGCGAAGGCCGCCCGAGGGCAGCGCATCAACCAGGGCGTTTGTCGCGACGCGCGCGCCGCTTCTGACCAAATCGTAAAAATTTGGCCACTCACAAAATGCCAAGCACTGCTGAATCCACCAGCTGGCGCGGCGCCAAGCCAGCCACAACGGCGACCGATGGCACGCGAAAGTTCAGAACTTGTTTCGGCGCCGACTGAAAACCTAGCATGGCATCCGAACGAGCCGAACTGATTGAAATCGCGCGCGAAACCCGCGTGCGAATGTCCCCGCCAGAAACGCGGCGCGCGAGTATAACCGCGCGCCACAGCCCCACCGCACGATGGAAACAACAACAACCATGATTGACGTCGCATGCGAACGCCCCCCACGGAGCGTCGGCACGAACGCCAACCGCGAAGTCTGCTGAAGCCAGCGCCGACCTGGCGCGAGCGCGCTGACGCGCCGATCGTGAACGCACGCTTGCGTCACGACGCCGTAAGGCGCCACGGGGCCATCAAGTCGAACAGCGGCCAACCGATGCCCGAAACGTCGCGAATGCGACGGCGCGCGCCCCCGCTACGCCAGGCCACCCGACGTGCGAGCGAATGCAAATCGCACCAGGTCGGGCGCAGTGAGCAAGGCCACTGCCGACTCTCAGAATAGAGGCCGCGTCGGAGCAATCCGAAGATCACAACAACAATGGCAAATTCGAGCCAAAATTGCGAAACGACGCCGAGGGTGAAGACGGAGAGGATCGGGGGGGGCACGGGGAGGCCATGAGAATCACAGGCGAGGTCGCGGGGGGAGAGTAGAGTGAGGAGAAGGAGGTGGGAGGCACAAGCGCAGGGTAACAGATAGATACGTTAGGAAGACCTGCGACAAGAAAGGAGGGGACGGACAAGGTCGGGAAGATCATGGCCTTCAGGATGGCGCGCTCCCGAGAAACATAGGGTGGCATGAGATCCAAAAGTGCTGGGGCACACGAGGTGGATCGACGACCGCCTGAGGGAACGCCAATTCTCTCGCGGGGAGTGCGGATGCGAAACGTCGGCCGCCAGGCTGGCGGCGGCGGGCAGGGCGAGCCAGTAACTTCGATGGCAAAGCCTCCAACGGCGCGCCGACGGAGCGAGGCACCCAGGGGTGGCACGGTGGACGAATCCTCTTAGATGCTAGCTCTCATCCTCCTAGTCGCCCTCCCCACCTCCTCGTCCTCCTCCTTGGTCTCGTGGCCATCTCGCATTCGTCCCGTTCGTCATCGTCGGGCTCTGTCCCCCCCCCAGGTGCGAAAAGGAGCGGCGCCGCCCGAGGCCGAGATGCGCGGCCTCACCGCTGAAGCTCGGGGCGGTGGCCCTCAGCGCTACCCACGGTGGCAGCGGGCGACTGCTCGCACAAGGCCAGCATTCGACTGACTGGCCAACCAGCGCGCCCACGACGTAGCCAAGCAAGACGCCCCATCACCCTGCAGGCCAAGTTCAAGAGCGCTCGCACTGAGGACTCGGTCTGCCATCGACCCCCGATGGCACTATGGAGCCCCGTCGGCACGCCAACAACATCTAGTCGAAGTCCTTGCTAGTCTCGTCGTGCAGGCCCTCGCCGCACTTCTCGAACCACTTGCTGACCTCGGGGTTCGTGCGAATGCTCTTGGGGAGCTGCGAGCTTTTCGTCTGGGCCCACGCTGCAGACGCAGCGGCGCGCGCCTGCGGCGAAGTCTTCTCGAGGACGCCGTCCTCTAAGAACAAGGACACGCCGAAGCAAGCGCAGTGCTTGACCTCAGTGGTTGCCTTCGCAGTATCCTTGAGGCTCGGCTTCTTCGAGTCCCAGTTCACGTTCGGCGGGATGGGCACCAGGAAGGGGACGTGCCCCATCGGCACGTACAGAGCGCTGCCCTCACGAAGAATACAAGTCGGGACCTTGTAGAGAGCACCCGAGTCGGCCGTCTCCACGTAACCATTGAAATCGACATGCTCGGCAACCCAGGCAGGATCAGCGACCGCGACAAACGAGATGCCCACGAACTGTTGCACCCAGATGGGCGCCTGACCCCACGGGAATGACTGCACGTTGCTCTGCCACTCGCCTGTGTTTCGGCAATAGACCGCCATGCGAAGATCCTCCATCGGCTCCGTGGTCTGCGATTGGCCCTCAGTGTCGCTGACATCGAAGGAGAAGTGCGGCGTGAACTGCACAGTCCCCCAGCTCGAACCCATCCCGTGCGTCTTCATGAAATCACGAACCTCGCATATCTTGGAAGTTGCATCCTTCTGGTGGTTCTTGTAGATGTCCGCGAAGCAGCGCTGGAATTGGCCCTGATCCTTCTCCGGTACCGTCTGCGGCTTGAGGACCGCGAATGGCTCTGTGAAAGAGGCGAACGTCAGTCCGCTGGCATCGTGCGGCGGCACCAACGAATAGTCCATGGTGATGCCGTACTCGGACACGGGCATCCCGAGCTGGGTGAGCCAATTCGCCGCAAGCATGGCCACGGAGTCTGGCAACTTCTTGTTGGACAGGAAACCGCGGATCTTGTCGCGGACGAAGCGCCACTCCCGCGCAGTCTTGTTCTTCTCAACGCCTTTCTTGGCGAGGACCGCCTGATGCGGGAAGCTGGCAAGGGAGTGACCGCAGCCCCCGCCCCCCGTCCCCGCGGACCCAGAGTGCGGAGTGGGAGGAGAGGAGGGCGGCATAAGGAAGAGGAGGGAGAGGAGGAGCGATGAGAGAAACATCAGGAGGAGGCAGAGGAGGCGGAAAGGGATGGAAGGCCAAGAAAGAGGGCGAGGTTGAGGAGACGAAGGAGCGGGGACCAATGGGAGGAGGAGGATGAGGGGATGAGGGAGGGTTGAGGAAGGAGAGAAGAGGAGGCCTCCGAAGGACGGCAAGGCGACCGCGCCCTTGACGCGAAAAGTAAGGGCGAACGACGAGAACACTACATGGATGGGCAGCTGGAGGGGGTGGGGCCGCGCCATCCCTCATTAAGTTGTGGCCCACGCCAGCCTGCAGCCCAGTCTCGCGCCGACGGAAGCGGCCCACCTCCTCGCGCCACTCGTGGACGCGCTTCAAGATGGCCTCCCTCTCCTTGCCGAAGTCCAAGCCGTCCTCCCACGAGTCGGAAGCATCCCTGATGCGGACCAGCGCGTCCCTGGCCTTCTCCAACCGCGCCAAGCAGTCGGGGAGCTTCAAACGCGCCACGCGTTCCTTCAGGCGGATGGGCCAGCCGATCTGCAGCAGCATCCGCAGCAGCAAAAAGAGGGCGCAACAACTGACGGGCGTCCCTCCCCCTCCTCCTCCTCCTCCTGTCCGATCTCTTTGACGTGTCGTCTCGTCGCCTTCCTCCTCTTCCCTTTCTTCGTCTTCCTGCTCTTCCTCCTCCTCCTCTGCCTCCTCCTCCCAAAGCTCCTCATCCTTCTCCTATTCCTCCTCTTCCTCCTCCTCCTCATCATCATCATCAGCGTCGTCGTTTGGGTCGGCGGCGCCTGCCGCAAGGCCTCCACAGTCAGAAAGGCACGAGAAAAGAGCACATCAGGCGGAGGAGATGAGGAGGAGGAGAAGGAAGAGGAGAAGAAAGACGATGAGAAGGGAAGAGGATGAGGAGAAGGAAGAGGAGGAGGGCGAGGAGGAGGAGGAGGAGGAGCAGCGGCAGCAGCAGCAGCAACAGCAGCAGCAGCAGGAGGAGGACGAGGAGGAAAAGGAGGCGCAGGAGGAGGAGCAGAGGGGGGAGTTGCACCCGAGGCTCCTCCTGCCCGACCTCTTTGATTTGCAGCTTCAGCCACTCGATCACGCCGACGTTGTCCGCCTGCGAGCAGCGGGCGCTCACTGGCGATCTCGCCGACCCCATCGCGGTACGACTTGGCCCAGGAACGGCAGCGGGCCTCCTAGACGTCCAAACCCGTTTCCCCAGGCAAGTCCACGCAGCCGCACTGAGTCCAGAGCAGCTACATGAGCCCCCGAGTGGGAAGTAGGTTTGGAAGCCGCTGGCACGGTTTCAACGTCGACCCAGGGACCTCCGAGACGGAAGCGCGGCAACCGAGCCCATGAGGGCCTGGGCGCGCAACCGAGACACGCGCGAGGTCAGCCATGTGAGCCGCCATTCGTTCCTCGCCAGTCAGCCCAAGATCGAATCGGTGCCCGTTGCGGAGCCTGTTCGGAAGAGAGCACGTTGTCAATGTACTCTGCGATCCAATCCTGGGCGTTCCACATGTCGACTGCCTCCTCGAAGTGGTCGGGGAGGCTCGCGAGGCGCTCCTCCTGGCTGCGCACCAGCTGGTCGAGAGACGCATGGGCGGCCTCCTCGCGGGCGAGCGCTGCCGCTGCCCCCCTGGACGACCCACCGCCAGCCCTGGGCGAGCGGGAGACGCTCGCGCCGCCCGCGCGAGACGAAGCCCTCGGCGGCTGGGGAGTGGTGATGTCGAAGCCCTCGGCGTCGGATCCTGGCGGCGGGGACTCCGAACCATCGGAGCCACGGCAAGGAGAAACCGCGGGCGGCGACGCGCTCGGCTGGCGACGCGTGCGCGCACCTCCCGGCGAGCTGCGGGGCCCGCCAAGCGGCGACGGTCGGCTGCGGCGACCGCTGCGGCTGCGGCGGCGCGGCGAAGTCGCGCGCCTCTCGCGCGAGCGGCCGCGGGCGCTGGCCCTGCCCGCGTCAGCCCCGCCGAGCGCCGACCGAAAGTCACCGCGGAGCCGCGTGCCGAAGACTGCCTGAGCCTCAGCGGAATCGACGGGCCTGGACCGCCCTGCGCCAGTCGTCGTCACGCGGAGGCTGTCGATGGACGCCCTGCTGCGCAAGCCCTCCAACACGAGGCACCTCTGGCCGCCGCTGCGCACCTCCCGCAGACTGTTGCCGAACTCGTCGACCTCGGCACGGTGGGACGGAGGCGCGGAGGGGGGCGCGACGAGGAGAGGATGGAAGATGGGGGCGCGGGGGGAGGCTGAAACGGGGAGACGGCGGCGAAGCTGCCCGCAGAGGATGAGGATGGGAGAAAGGAAGAGGGGACGATAGCAGAAACAAGACGTTGCGAACTAAACCAGGTAAGGCGCAGGACGGGAGGCGGGCGGACGGGAGGGAACGACGGGAAGGACACAAAGGAAGCGGGGATGGGGAAGGGGACCAGCTCACATAATAAACCTTGTAGGGACAGGGGGGAGTGTGAAATTACGAGGGAGGCAGAACAACTCATTTCTTCTCCTCACCCTCCTCCTCCTCCTTCTCCTCCTCCTCCTCCTGCTCCTGCCCCTCCTCCTCCTTCTCCTCGTCCTCATCTTCCTCATCATCCTCTTCCTTCGTCTTCTTTTCCTCCTCCTCCCCCCCTTCCCATCCTCTCCCCCCTCCCCCCCCTTCTCCTCCTCCTCCTCCTGCCCCCCCTCCTCCTCCTCCTCCTCCTCGACTGGGGGCGACGACGGCGAAAGAGACGCAAGCGCTACCTTGTTCTGCCAGCACCTCTCGGCATCCTCGGTCGTCACGCCCGAGCCCCTGAGAGTGCGAGCGAACCAGTCGTGGCTGAGCTCCATGTCGCGCGTCTCCCCCTGCTCCGTCTTCTCGCGGGCCAGCGGGCGAATCACCGACTCGAAGCCTGCGAAGTTGCCCGTGGATACGTACTCCTGGCGCAACTTGCGGGCGCGCTCGGGATCCTCGGCCTCCAACTCGCCCCGCGCGTCCGAGACCGCGGAAGGGGGGTCGGAGGACAGCAAGGAAGTGCCGGGAGCGTCCCGCGGGCAGAAGGGAAACAGCTGATAACAGCAAGCGCTGTAAAACAAAAAGGTCCCGACCTCCAGGGCCCGCTTGAAGCCAAACAACGTTTCCCGACCTCCAGGGCCCGCCCAGACGGGGAACGTTTCGACGCGAACCCTGTTGCTGGAGGAAGATGATCGTTAGCAGGCGGGCACGGGAAACGGCGGGGGATGTGAGGGGAGGGTCAAGAGGGGGGAGGGGTAGGAAGCGGGGGGACGGAGAGGATGAGGGAACGATCAAGAAGGAGGTGGACCTCTCTGCTCTTGTTGAGGTTCCACTGGAAGTCCGCCAAACCCCGCGGGCGCGGATGGTCGAGGCGGCCCCCCTTCCAGCTTCCGAGTCCAGCCTAGGAGGGGGAGGGCGAGGAGGAGGAGGAGGAGGAGGAGGAGGAGGCCGTCGTCGCCAGGTGTAGGTAACGCAGCGACAGGGGAGGCGCAGTAGAACAGGAGAGGACAAGGGGGAGCAAGAGGAGCAGGAGGAGGAGGAGGAGGAGGAGAACAGGGAGGGGCAGCAGGAGCAGGAGGAGGAGGAGGAGGACGACGACGAGGAGGAGGAGGAGGAGACAGAGCCTTGTTCGTGGCAGAGGCCGAGGATGAGGAGGAGGAGGAGGAGGAGGAGGAGGAGGAGGAGGAGGAGAGAGGAGGAGGAGAGAGGAGGAGGAGGCGGAGGAGGAGGAGGAGGAGGAATATGAGTTGGTGGAGGGGGAGGAGGTTGGAGGAGGAGGAGGAGGAGAGGAGGCGAGGAGGAAGAGGAATATGAGTTGGTGGAGGTGGAGGAGGTTGAGGAGGAGGAGGAGGAGAAGGAGGAAGATGAGGGGCATGAGGAGGAGGAGGAGGAGGAGGAGAAGGAGGAGGAGGAGGAGGACGAGGAGGAGGAAGAGGAGAGATGGAGGAGAGATGGAGGAGGAGGTGGAGGAAATGAAAGTGCGGCAGGAGGAGACGCGCGAGGGAAACCAGTTTTCGAAACAGGAGGGGGAGGAGGAGGAGAATGAGGAGGATGAGGAGGAGGAGGCGTCTCGGGTGCACAGATTCGGCACCGAATCGGTACACCTGAGACGTCTGGTCGCCCGCCGCTTCTCGTCACTCTCCTCCTCCTCCTCTTCCTCCTCCTCACCCTCCTCCCAATCATCATCATCCTCCTTGTCCGCCTCCTCCTCCACTCCTCATCCACCTCCTCCTCCCTCCCCTCCCTCTCCTCGCCCGCCTCCTCCGCCTCCTCCTCCTCCGCATCCTCCTCCTCCACCTCCACCTCCCCGCCCTAGACGCTGCTTTTCCTGACCTGCGTCCCCCATCCTCCCAACCTCGTCCCAGGGGCCCACCTCGTGCTTCGGGCAACTGCTCACATCAAATCCTCCTCCGCCTCCTCCTCCTCCTCCTCCTCCGCCTCCTCCTCATCCCCCCCTTCCTCCTCCTCCTCATCCTCACCCTCCTTCCTCCATCCTCCCGCCTCCCCCCCCTCCTCCTCCTCCTCCTCCTCCTCGTCCCCCTCCTCATCCTCATCCTGCGCGATGCGCGAATGTTAGCGCAACCAGCGCTGCACGAAACCAACACGTTACCCCTGCAAGCCTCGCAGAAGATGAAAAACTGTCAACGCACGCCTAAAGTACGGAAGGATTCTCTCTGGTAGCTCAACACCGCCATTTCTAAAAGCTACCAAGGCACCCCCCAAGATCTCCCTGGGATACCCTCCTCCTTAACCCGCTCATGCATAGATTTGTCCTCGTCCTCCTCCACCTCGCCCCCCTCCTCAGCACCCCCCTATTCCTCAGCTTTGAGAAAACCAGAGTCATGGAAACTGCGATCTTTGAAACTCCCCTGTGATCCCCCCCGCTCTTCCTGGCTGGTTTCAAATCAATGGCTCCTGGATAGG